TTCACTGTAGCTACAACACTATACGTATCGCACTGAAACTTAAAATGTATGACTAAATATAGAGGTTTACTTTTGATACTGACTTTTGATTTGTGGCACCCTCTATGTCCCTGTATGCAAAACTAAAAAGACATCCCTCGTAGTTCAATCTATTCCTAGCTCTTTGTTTCTTCAGATATTTTACTTCAACTGATCCTTGAAAGGTTTATTCTTTGAACACTTGATCATATGGTCATCCCATCTACTTTATACTTTCTGTGAATTGTATTCATCTTCAAGTCTTTAATATGTCCATACCAAACTTTACAATTTTCTATATGGCATTATTTTTGTTATGTCGATTAAAATCTATCTGGAAGTTGTTCAAATCTATACAATACCCTGTATCTAAATAATGAGATATGCTGGACACATTAATAAAATGGGTGATTTCGAATTATCAAAGTGTCACATATCTACAGTTAACATATGTACATTTCAATCTGAAATACCCTGTACACATCTTCAGGAAGATTTCCCGATTTTCCAAACACTTAAACTTCTAAATCTTGGTAATATTGATTATATCACTCACAATGTAATAATTTCGTATATTGTTATGCAACAAAGAATCAAACAATATTTTTTCCACTTCAGTGTCCTCAAGAGCTATGCGATTTTTGGTTAACCCTTATCCCTGTTTTATAACATGCATTTTTCAAATATTTTTTTCTTCTCCAATCAACTTCTTTATATAGCTTAATTCTTTACTATATTATATTACCATCAATTTCATTTAATTTTATAAGGATCTGGTAGGCAAGCTGTAAATTATCGAGTTGTCATATTTTATGAATTCTTAATACAATTAATGAATAAAACTTTGTATCGGGACTATAGGTTATGTTGAAAATGATTGAGATGATCTCGTCGCCTTCCACTTTGACCTAGATGGATCTATTGTAGCTATTGTCTAACCTAACTTATAGTGCGCCGTACAAGCCACACCTTTTGATGGGTGAGTTGGATGAGACTTGTTTAAAGTTGGTGGGCTCAAGTTGGGTGAATTTGGATCCTGGATCCTGGAACCTAATTCTTTCCAAGGCGAAGCAGTTACATAGAATGTGCTCTGCGGATTCATTTTCCACGCAGTCTACGCTGCAAAAGCGACAGTCCGATGTTCGTTGTGAAAAAGCATAGGTCGTTCCTACTTCATTCTCTGATCTGAGCAGTGACGTTTATTGAAGGGTTGGGTATAAACGCCGAATAAGTTAACCTTAGGGTATCTCTACAGTATATGAGTGTTACACCCTCTAACCATTTTACATTTTAGAGTATTTTAATAAACGTGTTCAGAGCAATAAATAATAAAAAAAGATTAATGTCCTCCGGCGATTAGTGGCGATCACGTATTTAATACAGAGCAGACGTGAAAATTAAAATGACATTTACAGGTGATATAGTTACTTAGAATGTGATCGTAATATGGGACTAATTAACCAAGGCTTCAATTTAACTCCATCTAAATGGAATGAACATATTCTAAATGACAGGACAAAATCACGCGTATTCAAATTTACACAATATATTTCGATCCTTACAAAATACTTTTATAAAAGTAGCAGACCAATAAAAGAGATCACAATATTGGAAGGAATGCCCAGGATGATACAGTATCGTGAATCTTATAACAGAGTCTACTACTTTTGTGGTAATACCTAAATAAAAGCAATGAACTCCTGAAGTTCCAGTTAGTCAATTTGAATTACCAAATCTGAAATATCACCGGAATCTCCAAGTACCAGAATCTCCAAGATTTGAAAAAGTTTTGCGAAAATCAAGACAATATGTTTCAAACTTGCTCTATTGTAAAAATATTGTTGATGTTTAATTTATTATTATAATAATCATACTCGTGTTAACAGAATAAAGTTACCAATTACGATAATTCACAACCCATCGATTTTTATTTGTAAACGGGCGTTTTGTCAGATTACTTTTTTATTTTTGACGTCATCGTTTTGAACGTGTCAGTGTCATCGATTTTTTTTTTAATAGAAATGTGGGTGTTACTAGATATCATTTGAAAGTTATTTTATATATCTATTTAGCCATATCAATATGCCCAAGTAATTGATTTTTGTTTATTGTCAAACAAATTATAATAATGAAATACCAATTGATTTCCTAAGACAAATTATTAATTATTTTTGTCATGTATTAGTTGATACCCAAAAATAAATTTGATAATTTGAAAATAGAAACCAGTAAACAGAGATAAATTTAAAAAAAAACTAGATTCCTTATCAAATTTTCTACATTGAAAATCAAAACTTTCTATTAAGTGGTTAAGACTAAATCGAACACCTTGAAAATTTTATAATTCCTTCTGAGCCTTTATTTTTAGGCCGATTTTTGTGAAATTTTCAGGAAATACCAACAATAAAACTTAAAGTGGAGTAACCTTGAATATTTTGTAAACCTTCAAAAAGTATTTATTTTCAAAATTTTTAAAGGATATTTCAAAAAACATTTATGCGCCAGTCTATATTAAATGTATGAAAGTTTGCTGCTTTTTGTTTTATAAATATCTAGTAGTTTTTTTTCCTAAACGTATCTATTGAGTGCTGCCTTACACACATTTAAAGATCTCAATATTCTCTATACATATAATATCACGAAGTATGCCCAGTGGTGTGCATACAAATACAATTTTGTATTAGGTCCGGTTTGCTCTTAAGGGTAATGACAATAATAGTAGACGTATTCAAAAAGTATTTGAAGCTATTCATCAACATGAAATTGAGTGAAATAGAAGATAAAACAAGGACACAAAAAAGATATATCTAAGTTATTTTTGAGTCATTCGTCATGTAAATGACCTCCCAAAAGGTAGTAAAAACCAATTTTAGAAAACAAGAAACTAGATGTACTGCTAGTCTTTAAAGAAGTTCTCTATACCAGTTCACGAGAAGTAGCATTAGATAATGCTATTGTCCATTCAATAGTTCTTAAAACGCTAGATAAAGGAGTAGGTTTAGTACAGGAACTTTTGGAATAAGATTTTGATAGACTAGTTGAATGTTACGAAATTATAATGGAAAAAAATAGCAGAGACCCAGCAGAGATTATACTTTTTCGAAGAAACCTTAATAGGTCCTCGATATTTAGAATGTTTACAAAACTTCTTGATCCCCGAATTGAACCGGTTGATCCCAAACAGAAATTATTTGTGTCCCAAAAACATACCGACCAATTAGTCTGACATCGTTTTCTATGAAGACATTGGAAAGGCTATGCGAAAGATACATAAGGGATGCGGTGATTACAACACCACTACACCCAAACCAACATACATACACCCTAGGCAGGTCTACTGATTCAGCCCTTCATTTAGTTGCTGGCCCGATAGAAAGATCCCTGGATAATAAGGAGTCCGCCTTGGATGTTTTCATAGACATAAAAGGTGTTTCTGATAAACTACCTTCCCCAAGATAATACTCACACAGCAAAGTTCCACAGATGGTTAGTGGGTGGATACATACATGCTCTCAAAGCGATCAGTAAACATAAGTGTAGAAGATGTGAATATAAGAGGCTTAGTTGCGAGTCATGGGGTGCTATCACTTCTGCTGTGGAACATGGTCCTCGACACTCTCATCAGCCGCCTCAATAATGACAGTCACTACACAATAGCATATTCAGATGAACTGGTCATTCTGCAAACAGGGAAGGGTAACTATCTTGCTGATTCGCTGGCCAAGAAGACCTTCTATTGGATTGACAAAATCGGTAGTGACAGACCTAATTAAAGAACATTCCCTTGTGAAATTCAAGGAAAGATGGGATGAAACAAGAAACTGCAGAGTTGCCAGGGAACTTTTAAGTTATCCTGATAACAGTGCAGCAAACAAATACTTGACTATGACTAGACAGAATCTGCGCCTAGTCACAGGCATTCTGACTGGTCATTGCCAAGTACGGAAGCATCTCCACATCATGGGGCTGTCAGAATCCGCACTCTGTAGAGGGTGCGAACAAGAAGATGCGACGATTGAGCATATCCTCTACGATTTTTCGACGCTCTCATTTATTAGGAGATTTGTGTTCGGCGAGTATCGCTAACACCAGCCGATATAAGAGAAGCACCTCTTGGCGACGTTGTCAACTACATTAAATCTGTAGGCTGGCTCAGGAGCTAGGAGGTGACCATCGTCTTAGGAGGATGCACAATGGGCCTAGTGAGGTCTAAGTGCCGTTGGGGTAACCCACCCTCCACACGTTACAGATACAGATTGTGGCTGCAGCAAGAAGGTGCGCCTCCTCATAATGCGATCTTGATGAGAAACTACTTGGAAAACGTATTTCCAAATCGGTGGATAGGTAAAAGAGGATCAATAGAATGGCCACCTAGATCTCCAGATTAAAGTCTTCTTGATTTTATTTTATGGGGATATTTGAAATGTAAACAGTACCAAAATAGACCACAAAATGAACTCAAAGAACGAATACGCATTGAGATTGTAAAAATAGAAAAAGTTTGAAAAGAGTTTTTCCCAGTGTATTTTAGCTGAAGGACATAAATTTGAGCACTTGATTTAAATTTGGTTGTATAATAAATAATATTTCTTCGACAAATTCATGTATTTAAGTTTTAAAATGCAAGTTTTAATTCTCTCAATTTGGCTAATTGTGGATTTTGAAATTGATTCTCGGTTGGGATATGTATTATTAAAGAAATTACATACATCTTTCTAAGTCCTTGTATTATTTAAATTGGTTAGTGTGACGTGTTACGGCACGAAGGTCTGTGTTTACAGGTTCTTCATTTCATTGTCAGTGGCCAGTTCACAAAATAATGAATTTATTCCTTTAATTTAAACCAGCATACTGTATGCTAAATACTTACCGCATAAATTCACTCTAATAAGCGCTTTGAAACAGAAATTTTTGATTAGAAATAAATTAATTTAAATTTTTTGCAAGACCGTTTGTGTAAGTGTTGTTATTCTTGTTTTCAGGTGTGACAAATCCGCATGGCCTGCCGTCGCAGCCAGCACCACAAGCAGCAGCAGCTCAGCAGCAAGCAGCAGCAGTGGCAGCCGAGGCCAAGTCAACATGGTCAAGACGTTCCAGGCCTATTTGCCGCAATGCCATCGCACGTATTCGTGCATCCATTGTCGTGCCCATTTAGCCAATCACGACGAACTTATCTCTAAGGTAAAAATATAAATACTTAAAAATCATTGTATACAAAAGTTACTTTGGTGCAAATATGTTTGGTGAGATTTTACATCTCCCAAGAAACGTAATCTAGCAAACAGGCAAGTGGGTAGGGATGGAGATGTCATACAGATTTATCATCGTACTAAGTAAATGATACTACAAGTGGGAGTTTATTTTATAATAGTAGTGAGGGTAGGAACAGTAATGTTAAGCCTATCAATTAAATATTAAAAATTTATTGTAATCATAAAAAATCGATTTTTCAACTAACATAACTAATAAACCACCCAGTACATTTTTTTTGATACTTGGTACATATGGCTTTCTTACAGGAACCAAACGACATACGACATCTTAGCCAAAAGAAATATCCAGCTGTACATCGACATTTTTAAAATTTATTGGCATAGTTGAAAATAGTAAAAAAAAAGTCATTTATACAGTTTACTTTTCAACATTTCGCTTACAATTAATTTTACTACTCAAATTTTGAATTTAAATGTAGTTTTTGCGCCTTTGGTGGGTTAAAAATGGAATATTATGGATTTTTAATGTTAACTAATGTTAATTATTTAATTGACACTCATTCTTAACCTATTTAAATAAATATTTATTTCACGTTTCTATAATTTTTATACCCGTAAACCACTTTACAGAGTATTTACAGGTCTGTACCTAAAATTTTCAAACGTCCCGTAAAAACGTATTTTAAAATTGGTTTTGTGTTCATGTTTTGTTATTTTTAGTATTAGTTAAAGGAATTACAACAATAGAGAAAACTGCAAAATTTATTAAATAAACTTTTCGGTAAAACCTAAATACGAGCTAAAAAAAACAAAAAAACAATGATGATAACAAACATTAGTATCTAACTAAACGCATTTACAAAATTGTATTGTTAACGAACAATCACAGATATTCGCTCCGTGCGAAGTCATGGAAAGGGAAGCAAAAGCGATACAAGCGCTAGCTGCGGATAATTTGTGCATTTTAGGGCAATATTTTGTAATTTTGGCATATCAAATAAACGTATACATTTTACTTTTTTTTCAAAAAAGTGGGTAAAAACAATACAATAAGCAACCGGAGTTGCTGTGTTGAAAATTGTACAAATACTAGCAAAAAAAACAGTGAAACTTATATAATAATAATAATAATAATAATAAATGCTTTTATTGGCCAAACTAAGTACCTGATACAAAGAAAGAAAAAAAAATATATAAATACAAATAGTTTGCCAAATGGCAGAGTTCAAAATCTCTGATAAAAATCAGAGTTTTGCTCTTCCACTCAACCAGTATTATGATAGACATACCTATACATCTTTCGATGTATAGATGTGCCCTGCATGTTCACTTAATAATTATTCAATCTAGAGCACAATATGGCTTTACGAATATGAGAGAAAAACAACTTAACATCTTAACTTCTGTAGTCTTCTTCTTCTTCTTCTTCTTCTTCTTCTTCTTCTTCTTCTTCTTCTTCTTCTTCTTCTTCTTCTTCTTCTTCTTCTTCTTCTTCTTCTTCTTCTTCTTCTTCTTCTTCTTCTTCTTCTTCTTCTTCTTCTTCTTCTTCTTCTTCTTCTTCTTCTTCTTCTTCTTCTTCTTCTTCTTCTTCTTCTTCTTCTTCTTCTTCTTCTTCTTCTTCTTCTTCTTCTTCTTCTTCTTCTTCTTCTTCTTCTTCTTCTTCTTCTTCGTCTTCGCTTCCAGATCTTTCTTCTAATTCATCTATAGAATATGATTTTCCATCGATAATCAGCTTAAAACCCTTAATTTTAGCATCTAAATTTTTTTCTTTGGCAGTTTTCTGATGTTGTGTTAAAATATTTATTTTTTCTCGATCTTCCTTAGAGAGATCATCGCTTAAAGACAAGCCCTTTTTTCTAAGCTCTTTTAATTTATTAATATCTTTAAACAAAGTTGATTTTTTTAGATATGTAGCGAATTCTACCAATACTGGAGCGTTTTCAGATTTTCCAAGTTTAAATATATTATTTATTTCACTGTGCTTTATATTACAATCTAGATTGTCATTTAACGTTCCTACAGTCTTATCTATAATATTTTCCCCTTCCTCAATTTTAATGCCGAAAATTACAATATTATTTTTCTTAGCTCTTCTTTCAAGTTCTTGGCACTTTTGTTTTAATATTGATATTTCGTTATTTGCATCATTCACTTTTTTAGTAAGTGAATTTGTAGTTTTTTGTAGTTCTAATTTCAATTCTTCAGTTTGCTCTTTGTTGGCTTTTAATATTAATTGATATAATTGCGCAAATTCAGACTCTTTAATACTGCCGTTTTCCATAGTTTGCAATAAAATAAATCAAACTGTACATTGGTACTGGTATAAAATGTGTAAACTTTTAAGGTATGTGGCCACCTTTAGATATCCTATGAACCTTCTGATAAAAGTGATCTGATTAAGCATAAAACCACTTTTTTATTAAAATTTGTGTACACTTTTAATGTGTAGAACTAGGTTAATTTTTAATAATGATGAAAATTTACATGTATGTATTTGAAATCTACTAAATTTTCAATTTGATTGTCTTCTTTATTATCAGATTACTCTACTAGTTCACTTTTATAATTAAATTATTGGTACATACCAGGTAAATTTTATTTTTCTGGGAACGATGTGAACAATACACCCACACACTGAGTATCAGAGACAGAATATATAAAAAATTTCAGTAGCAAAGTGGAAATTAAATCAAAGAAATAAATAGATAGGTGTACAATAGGAAGAAAAATTACCTTTATTTTTGTAATAATAACAGTAATGCTGGAAATAGTAGACATCAGAAACTTAAAATGTTTTAAATAAACAATAAATTATCATTTTTCGATGTTCTTTAATATCCCTTTATTCTTAAATGTTCATTCAGCAAGGACTAGATTTCAAGATTTCTTGCTTTGATTATAATATGTGGCTGGAATGCAATTTTGTGACTTACTGATGGGAAACCTGTTTTAATCATTCATTCTATGTTTTCTTTCGAACAAAAATGAAAATATAAATAATAATCCTCTTTTTATACATTTTAACTTCACGCTATTATTAAATGGTATTTTTTTATTTTGACAGAATAGGCTAATTCTTCAATGACAACCTATTAGACTTAGGCAACTTCTCATACATTTTCCAGTAAATATTGTTGCCTGCCCATATTTTATTATTGATTTTTATTGATTATACATAATTTTCTTTAATTTAAGCGATAAAAATATATAATAATAAATTAATGTTTTACTTGTTTAACAAATCCATATACTTTTATTAAAACTTACATATATACTTTTTAATTACGTGTTCTATTAAAAATTCTATTAGTCAGTATACGCAGAAATAGTCCATTAGTACCAAAACGAATTGGCGCTGCTGTCGCGCACGGAGCGAATAATAACACTTTAAAATATTTTTATAAGGAGTCTATAACAATACGCGTATCACACGTGTCCAAATAGATGCCATTAGTTGGCTAAAAGGTAACATTAACTTCAATTTATAATAACCCTAGTAGATTACGTTTTATATTAGGCAGACAGAGCGAGACTGCTGCTAAATTGGGTGGGGATGGTTTGTGCGAGTTTATCTGAGGTGCGAGAACGTTTTTTTATGTTTGAACCAAGTCGTACTAATATAATTTCAGCTTTAAACCGTTGTCATACTGTAAATAAATAATGTATTCCTGTAAATTAATTCCTGTAAGTTTTGCAGACGACACTGCGATTTTTTATGAAGCAGAAACTGGGGACGATCTAAAACGGAAAACTGAAAGAGATTTAAAGAAAATAATAGACTGGTGTTCCCATAAAAAATTAACCATAAATTACAACAAATCTTTTGTTTTACCATTTGTCAGCTACTCTAATAATCTACCTCAATTTAGTAACATTAGCTTAACTTATAATAAAAAGAAAATAACATTGGAAAAAAAAATGAAATAAAATATTTAGGAGTTACCCTAGATTGTCATTTACGTTGGGACGCACATATAAATAACTTAACAAAAACCTTAAGACTTCTTTTATTTAAATTTAAATACCTCAAAAATATTTTACAAGTTACTCACCTAAGAACTATTTATTATGCTTTAGTCCAAAGTCGTGTACAATACGCAATCGTCTGTTGGGGTGCTACAACCAAAAATCACATATCCAAACTTGAAATATTACAAAAGAGAATTCTAAAAATAATACACAACAAAAAAGTTAGATACTCAACAGATGCATTGTTCGAGGAAGTAAAAATAATGGATATACGACAATTATACATATACTCAGTTATAATACTAATCTAAAAAAATAAACAATTATTAAACAAAATTACCCATAACTATGATACAAGAAGCAAGGATAAAGGAAAAGTTGGTACCCATCTTGTAAATAAAACAATAGCACAACGTTTTTATATTTATTTAAGTGCAAAAATATTTAATTATCTTCCGGATATGTACAAGGCATATTTACAAATCATAAATTCCGTTGAACTCTTTAAATCTCTCATCAAAAAATTTCTTATTAATTCGGATAGAAAAACGCAAAGAGAAATAATTGATTAAATATACAAGTATTCGAACTTATATATTATAATTTAGTTGTAATTGTATACTTTTTACGTGATATTTTTATTTTGTATTTTTTTATTATTTATATTTCATATGTATTTTGTATTTTAAATGATGCGTTTTTTAGCTAATTTTATATTGTTATTATTCAGTTTATAATTTAATATGTATTATTTAATTAATTTAATTAGATTTTATGAACTTATACAAGTCAAGCTATAATAATGTATAAAAAAAAAAATGATTTCAAAAAAAAGTTAGTAATTCGGCAGCCCATGCGCAACCACATGGTCATAAATGGGCAGCAAATACTTTTAATGTATAAGGTACCTGTCAATTACTCTAATAATTTAAAATTATTTAAATGTACCTACAAATATGATGTAATCAAAAAAACAAAAATGCTGAATAAAGATTATTA